ACAGAGCAGCAGATACCGGAGCCCAGCATTTCCAACCTGCCAGCTGGGTCTCATCCCCCTTTCTGTGCCCATTCCCGATGCCTCCTCCCACTCTAGGCTTTGGATATGTTCAGTTGTTTGGGAACCTAAAACTCAGGCGCTACAAGTTTGATCTAAATCTTACATTATAGCCTAGCATCCTGTCACAAATCATTACAGTGTGTCAGAAATCCACATCTCTTCCTTTCTTGCCAAAGATATTAAAACACTTTTTTTCAGTGTAGCTGTACATCCAAATGGTTAACAATACCCACCCGGTTTAGTATATTAAAAACCAGCAGCTCTGGTGCCTTCAATGTCATTTTCTAAGTTATGCTACTTTGACTGTGTTACACGTTCTTTAAAATATTTGGTATTTTAGTTTTAAAAGCGTGTTATGATGAAGCAATCCATAAGTTAGCAGTTTTCCAAAAGCCCCTGGCTTTTGTGTGTGTGTGTTTGTGTCTGTGTGTGTGCAGAAGAATATACAAAGGATCTTGGCAAATAATTAAACATTCTAATTTGAGATAATCTTTGATTAATGAAGAAGCTGCTTTCGAATGCTCTTCTCTGGCTCTGATAATTGATCTCTAATTGTCCCCTGTAAAGGTTATATATTGCCTTTCCTCATGATTTTGTCCTCCTAATGCCTTATAACTCGAATCCAGCTATTAGCCACGTTCATTAATTCCTCTTGAAAATGCTGTGAACTTTCCAAATTGAAATAGTGCTTTATAAAACCAAGTTTAGTTTTATACCAGTTGTGAGTCTCTTGAGAAAACTACACCAAGAGATGTCACAGCCATGATGTGTAAATTACTCAATTCTAAATTATTTTAGAATTATGTATAAACTATTTGAGGATGTTGGACAGGGGAAGTGTAGGAGGATAACTTAATTAAAAATAATGGTGCAGGTGATTTATTTTTTTCTCTTCCTGTAAGTAAACAGATGATGGATTTGCTGTTAACTATGTTATGCCTAAGTGGTAGATACATTTATGCAAAAATTGGAAACCCAAAGAATTTAGGATCTGTTGAAATGTTTGTGATAACATAAAAACCTTGCTTTGTTTCAGAGGGATTTTACTTGGATCTCTAACAAGCTGGGAGAGCTAAGCATATTTACTTAATTGCTTGCCTAATTGAGAGATGAGGCTTCTTCATAGCATAAGTTGTTACCTTATTTTTGGAATAAGCTGGTTTTTAACCTCATTTCTACTTAAGAAAGAAAAAGCCTTTTAACCTCTTGTTTGGCAGGTTTCCTGTTATATAGCTTAAAGAAAATTGGCTAAACTTCTTTCTTTCTGCTACAAGATACTAAACTATGTACCCCAAATGTTGGTGTGTACCTAGTGTTTGACCACATCATTACAGCAAAAGGCTTCCAATTACCCATCCTATTCTCTGCTTAGCTTGATATTAAAAAATGCATATGGTACTTGCATAAGCACAGATTTTTACAAATATGTCTAATTAATACAATTTGAGAATGCTTTTACTTCCTTCGCTCCTGAATTTTTCAGTCCAATTTCATTAAAGCAGAATACTTATTCATGTGCTGCTTTCCCCAATTTTGGCTTAATTGTTTCCAGTCTGTACAGCCCGGCTGTCTGGAGATGTTTATTACTGAGTAAATGTATTCTGGAAGGAGAAAGCTTGGCTAAATTGCTGGAAAGAAAAATTCTACAATCTGACCTTATCAAGACAGGATCCAGAAGGTTCTTATTTTTCATTTTGACTGGGGACTGTTAGCAAGGAAAAAACAATCCAAAGAAGTTAACTAAAGTCTATCACAACAGTCATTGGAGGTGGGGAAGGGAAAAAAATGCTGTCAAGTTTATAATCCATTCTGCAGAATTGCAGAAAAAGTGTTACATATCCTGTAATGATCCAAAGCTATTTTCTTCTTGCTTTGGAAAAAATAAATTCTATTCCACACAAATGCACTTGGTATTTAGGGAACCTTTTAATATACTTTAAGTATATGATAACACAGAATGAGAGTACGGCATCAAAGTATTCAATAATATATTTTGAGTGATCTTTAGCAACTCTCCTGAGCATTTATGACTTGCTAGAGGGAAATGCACTTTTCAAAGATCATGAGCAGTCCCTACGGAGACCTGTAACCTTCCTCAGAGCAATTCACCACAAGCTGATAGGTCTCATCACAGCACAGGAGAGGCAGTCAGTTTAAAATGCTCTGGAAATGCCCTAAGAATACTAATACAAGCCCTGCGACTGCTGAGTCACTGCCTGCACCCTAAAGTTCAAGCAAAGGGTGATCTGGGGATTATAAATATCAGTAGAAAGTCAGGTATTGGCACAGATTCATTCAGACCTTGTCCAGTCTGTGGTCTGATTTGCTTCCTAATCAGTTTATTAGGTAATCAAAGAAAGATTAAATCTTCAGTCAGGGTGGGCTGAGCAGGTCAAAAATGGGGACAGAAAGGGAAAGAAGGAGCATATGGGTATGGAAAGGATGCTCACATGCACAAGAATGTGTGTTCATTCTTCTAGCAAGACTTTGGCACTCACCTATGGTACCTATCACACCTCCTGGACTGTTTAATATAGGACAAAGTTTTGTTACCTCCTCCATCCCCTTGCAGAGCAATGCCATGTCCCTCTGACAGTGTGCAGCATGTTGTGACACCAGCCCACAGAGCTGCTGGTTTTCTCAGACTATTTGACATTAAAATCTCTTTCAGGAATTTCAGCTTTGCCGAAATGATGTATTGTTTCAGCGTGTGCTGTTCAACCCCATTTGACTGAAAGCTGCAGAATGAGCTCCTTACTACAGAATATGCAGGAATACATCCCCTTCCCAAGCCACCACCGCTTCATTATTGTGGCCTCCCCAGGGTGTCTCACCCTGCTTTGCTGCCTGTCACAACTCTTTATATCCTACTGCTTCCTCTGCTGCTCCAAGGCCTTCTATTTACACCAGGCATAGCCCAGCTTTGCAGCTTCAGTCCTCGGATGGTCCAGGCCTGCTCGGTGCTTCTGATTAACCAGCACCCCACTGCGTGTGGCACTCTGTTTTTTAACTGAGACAGCATGCGTGTAGCACAGCTCTGCTTGTTATTTTCTGACCTGTCTTTTCTTCCTGCTCCCCTCCCCAAGTCTTATTCCAGATGGTAACTGCTGCAAGAGCTTAAAAATAAAAATGAAAGTGTGAAGTACATTTGCTTTTATGGAGCTGCGAATGGGGGGCAGAGGAGGAGGGGAAATGCACCGGTATCGTTTGTCTAGCTCGGTTAAATTAATGTCCTCAGCTATTAGTCAACCTGCAGTGGTACAAAGTGCATCGTAAAGACATGGTACACAAATATTTAAAAAAAAAAAAGAAAAGAAAAGAAAAGAAAGGAAAGAAAATAAAAACTCTGGTATTATGGGCCACCTCGCAATCAACTCTTGTTGTTATTATCCCTTTGCAGCTGGTCTGTAACTGATTCCTGATTTTTTCTGAGAAGCTCTTTGACCACAGGCAGGAAATGTGCTGCAAGTAGATGCAGTTGGCAGTTGTCCTGTGGTGTCCAGACACACAGCTGGTCATTTGGTGGGCGAGGAGCTCCAGTTAGCCAATGGCAGAAAGAGGCCCTATCTGATACAGACACCTTTACCTGCCTTTGAGAGGGCCTTGGAGAAAGAGTGGCTGGGATAAGCACCATAAATCCAGCCCTGGAGCACTGACATTTATTTTTAAGAAGGTTATGCAAAACATAGCAACCACCTGCCATGAGACGAGTGGGTGCCAGGTGCCCTGGTCTCCTTTCAGTCTCTCAAATGCCCCCTTTGGTGCCAACCTGCTGTCCCCTTGGGAAAGGCTGACCGCAGCCCCCCCTCCTGTCCCTGCCTTCGGTAGGAATGACTTGGACAGTCCCTGCTGCCCAAAGCAAACATTAACACCAAATATTTGACAAGAGGGGGGAAAAGTGCTTATCTCTTACAAAACGTTAAGATAGACAGTAATAAACCATTCCTTACAGCAACAGGCTTTTAAAACATCTGTGAGTGTGCATTCTGCTTGGAAATGTGATGAAGACATCAGCAGTACAGACACTTTTATTAGTAGTGCCTAACTCAGAGAGATACGTGGAAGTTCCATTTATTCAAAGTATGTTCTCTCACTGTGGCAGCTACGGTGGAAATATCAAAGCCAGGGGGAGTTGCTGTTCTTGTTTTTCTTTATGTGTAAATCACTTAACTCTGATTCCCTTATTGTCCGTCTCTGGGTATTACTATTACTAGTGTAGTGGTGGAATATTTTTCCCTAGATGTTACCACAGTAAAGAAAATAATTTCTTGTTTCTTTTTTTTTTTTTTTCTCCAGAGAGAGTCCACTTTAAAAAACAGATTTTAAATGATAAATATTATGTTCAAAGACTCAGAAATAAGTAAAAATGATAATTGATACAGAGTATGAAGAAAAACATTATTAGGAGCAGGTGACCTAACAGGGAAAAATCCATATGTATTTTTGGATGTGTGCCTAACAGTCCAAATGGACAGGAAATATGGGAAATATGCATAAGACATGCAAGAAGATTTCAGGAGCTCACTTTGGCCACCCAAAAGGCAGCAAACAATTCAGAATTTCACTACTAAGTATGCTGAAAATGATGAAATAAAAGAAAACCACAAACACAAAATAAAAACAACATACACACACAAAGAAAAAAAAGAAAAACAAACAAACAAACAAAACAAAACAAAAAAACACAACAACAGTTACAGAGAGTTAGCTCTCTGTAAGCTGAACTTAAATGGACACGGAGAACTTTTTTCAGACTTAACCAGACAAAATCAATGTCACACAACTGCTCCCAATAGGCCAAATGAATGAATTCACTGTGGATCACTTAAAGAAGGGAAACACAACACTTTGGGGCCTTGGGGGGAGGAGAAAACAGCAAATGAGAGCAGGTGTAAGCCATCTTGATCAAGCAGGCTTTAAATGTGGCCTGATCTAAAAGATCAGCTTTTCAGGTGGAGCAGCAGTGTTGATGAGGGTAGAGAGAAAGTAAAAGTGGTCAGAGAGTTGGTGAACCAAGCTCAGCGTGCAGGAGAGTGCTGTTGGTTATACAGGTTGTTGCTGTTAGACTTGAGGCGGGATGTATTATGCTAACCTAAAGTAAGAGGGGCAGATAGTATGCCTTAAAAAATAGATGTGGGGCTGGTTTCATGATGACAGTTTTTTCTCAGCAGCTGTGTGCTGAGCTGAGCAGTACAGTGTGGTCTACTGGGGCACCTCCTTGCCTTCTTGTTCCTGTTCTGGCTGTGGAAACTGTGGTGTTTTCCTGCTGAAGGAACCTTGTAAGACCGACTTTTTTTTTTGTTAAAAGGGATCCTTTATTGGGTTGTTTTATCCTCTTAACAGCAGGAGTGCTGTGCCCTAGCAGCACCAACATGAGCCTTGCTGACCTGATGGGCCAAGTGTAATGGCTGCTAGTCTGTAGTGGGTTGGGTGAGCTTCAGGGCACCCTTGCTTATTTATGCTTTTGAGAAGAAACTCTAAGTCTTGCCAGGGTAACAAATAAATTTAATGCAGGTGTCAAATGTTACTGCCTTCCTGTTGTTTGCCCAATAGCATCTTTGAGAGGCTGGTGGTGGAGCTGCTCTCCCTGACATCTTCTACCTTCTCTCCTAGTGCACATTGTGACCTTAGCCACCTTGCATGGCCTCATTCTTTTGCACATTGCTCCTGCTCTGGCTTGTGGTGGTTTCTTCTCTGCCTGCCTCCTGGTCACTACTCTGGGAGAGTGGGGGTATGGGAGGACAGACCATTCCATTAGTTCTGAAACTTCATAAAACAAAAAAACAAAACACAAGGTGACAGGTTTACTGATTTTTTTTTTTTTTTTTTGAGTCTTGAATTAAAGGGCAAAGGTTTTTGTCCATGCTTTTCTTTCATCCTGTTTGAAGAGTAGAGAGGAACAGCTGGGAAGAAGGGGTCAATATTCCTTCCATCATGAAAGTCTACAAAAAACATAGGCAGCCTCTGCCAGCACAGCTGTTTTTCTGCTGCTACTGACAATCAAGGGTAAAAATCAAGATATTTTTTCAAAGGAAAATGTGATGGGAAAGCTTGCACTCTATTTCCAAGGACATGCTGAAAAGTTAGATTGTGTTTTACCTTGGTTTAACCTAAATGGCCAACAAAACAAGACACAAATATGCTTCTGGGGTGAGTATGGTATTGGATTCCTCTTGCCTCAATAGGTGAAGTGCCCTTACATCCTGTTTCTCTCTTCGACCAAATTCCTGTGGTACAAAGCCTCTTGAGCAGCAGTCCAGTCCTTTCTGGTGGACTACGGGTAGTAGCAAGTCCAAAATTTCATATGACAGTGAAAAACAGAGTAACGATACTGTAAGAACTGATGGATTGAGGCTGGCTTTATCTGGGGCTAATATTAAAGTGCCTTTTTTTTTCTGGAAATGATGATATGTTTCTGTTCAGTGGTGTCAAATATAGGGGTGTGTACTGCAAATGGAAATTTAGATAATAAGCCAGCGTTAGTGCAGGCTTATGTGCACAGAACATGAGACTGGAGCTGGAAATTAACAATGTAATTTTGAGATACAACTGACTTCCTTGCCCCCTTTATCTATCCTTGCTGTTTTTTGTTGTTTTTTTTTTTTTTTTTTTGAGAACTTCAGAGGCTGAATAAGACAAAAAGGAAGAAAGTTTGTTAGTTCCAGGTGACTATGCTCTTCTTATTTGTAAGAATGGGTATAGCTCAAGTGCAAGGAGTGGGGGCTGAGCTTACATAGGAATGTCTGGGTAGTTTGAGATTATTTTTATAGGAGATCAAAGATGGATATAAGCTACTCATCTCTAATTTCACCTCTAATTCCTCTATTTTCCACACCATGTAAATGCCCATTGCTCTCATTGCCATGTGTTTGCTCATTTTGTTGAGTTCTGTCTGTTATGCTGTGATCTGTTCCTTCAGTAAAGTAAAAGTGCTTGGTTTAAAACCACTTTTGCTATAATTGTTTGTGGCTCCGTTCTTGTTCCTGTATGTGAGAAAGATAAAGATCAGTTTTTTAACTTTGCTATGGTGACAAAGAGGGGGGGTTGGGGGGGAATTGATAAATCCCCACCCCTACCTGGTTTTCAGTTAACTCTCGGAGGTCATGTGTTCAGTCTATGCTGGGGTCAGAGTCTGGCAGTGCAGGCACGTGATGGTGGCTGCTCCTTAATGCAAAGCCCAGCATTTGCGCAAGGGTTTCCTCATCCTCTCACATGAACGGCTGCCAAACACGGGGTAATGTGACTTCACTGTGGAGGGGAAAAGATGAGTTTTATATGTAAAATTGCTTGTAACATTGAATCACTTCTGGATGTTAAGGTCAATATGTGCCTAAATTGCTCTAAGTAACTGAGTTTATTATAATTCCTCTGTCACATTCCCTTGCTGCAGCTGTGACACTCTTCTGTGTAACTTATTTAATTATACAGTTGTGTTTGCTGCTGTGTGTCTGTTGTTGCTATGAGCATTTAGTTTTTTTTTCCTCTACAGTTCTGTAATTTAAACAAATCTATTGAAGTGTATTTAACCTGAAGTAATCCAGAATGTGTGTTGCTCTGGGCTGTGTTTCTCAGGAACTTCCTTCTGCAATTCTGTATTCACAAAAGCAGTTTGCTTTGTGTGAAGATGAGAGGGAGGATCATCCCTTATGCACCACTCACAGCTGTAGATTTTATTTGTGTTTAAAACAGCTTCCGTCCACAATGCTATTGGTGCTTTCAGTGGGTGTATTTTGACAACGTGGACCTATACTGCAAACTTGTGTGCTCACGTATGTGCATGACTCCAATTTTCCAAAGAGTTCATCTGTACGGTCACCTGAAAATGTCAAAGGTCTGTGGGCTGAGCCTTGTTTAGCAACCTGGTGAACAGCTATTGGAGGGCAGAAAGTGCAGGACCTGCTATTTTCATGATAAACTTTCTCTGAGGATTTGATATGGCTCTTAAGTAGGGATTCATTGTATGCCCCTGTCAGCACTGTGTTGGATAGGAAGACTGAGTAAAATCCTGGAATGCTTGAAGAGCTTATAGGGCGCAAGGGGACTTTACATTCTTTTAGTGAAGGCATCAAAATACAATTATAGGCAGAGAGTAAGTAAAAATATTTTAATGAATCTAAAAATAAGAGATTATTCTTAAGCCTAATGGACATTCTTGTGTAAGTCTGATAACATGGCTTGTTAATATTCACACTTTTTTATATTAGTTGGTAAATTATGCATAAAGGACAAAACAGAAGTAGTCACCCAGACATTCACTTCATTTGTCTGACTTTCCCATCCATTGTCTTTTATGGTTTATCTGTTTCCTTCTGTGGCTTTAAACAATAGATGAAATATGCTGATATCTGTGCTGATACAATGTAATAATGTTTTCGTAATTTTCACTGTGTATGCTCTTTGTTGAAAATTAAATATTGCCAACAGTCACTGAGTTCTTTTTACATTGAATCATTGCAGATACCAAGTGGGGAGACTGCTAAGGAATAAGATAGAGCCCCTTGGGGGCAGGAATAGGAAACAAATGAGAGAAGAGACCTTCAGGAATGTGTGGGGAACAAAAAGAAAAACAGATTGTAGGAGACTTAAATCCTGTGGTAGGGAAAACAATAGAGATATCAAAAGAACAGTCAATGGAAAGGGGGGGGAAAGCTGACTTCATGTCATCTATATCTATTAAGATGAAAGTGCAAGGAAATTTCTAGGAAAGGAAGAAAATGCCTAGATGCTTTTTTTTTTTCCTAGAGAAAAGTGGTGGAGGCAAGGTGTTTCTCCTAGCATTGTTTATTTTTACTGCAAGCTGTATGAAAATATCTTCATACGGAACCATGTTTATCAAAGCGGGAAGATCGCTTTGCATTAAGGGGTTTGAATTTTAATTTGAAGAGGATGCAGAATATAGTTTTCAGTCAAATTAAGATAATTGGATGGAATAAAGCTGTATTGTACTTGTATAAATGTTATCTGGATATTATAGTGAAATAACTACATGGGGCTCTATTCTCTGGCAATTAGAAAATGTCATAAAGCCAGCTATCAAAAAAAAAAATTTTTTCTATGAAGCATAATTCCCATTTGAAGGACAAAAGTGCTTTCTTATTCTGTTCTCAGAATTTGATCTCTGGGATTTCATTCCTCAATAGGATTTTGATTGATTTTATTTTAGTAGTTTTATCTTATTTCATAATGTTTGTATTAAATCAGGTACCTCTGAGCACTTAATCATTTTTAGTTTCTAGTTTTTTGTATTTAATATTATACTTGCTGTCAAAATTTAATATAAGTAAGAATCATAATAAACAAAACTCATTGATCAGATGCAGTGAACTACAGCAGTGACAGGCAACCAGAAGCCTGATGCAGAAATTTCTTTGTAATGAAGAGACGCCTATTGACTTCAGTCAGTTTTGGGTCAGGCCTCAAATGGAAACAACCCATCTATGCTTTCCATTCGGGTCAGTGGGTGACCTGGAATATGATAGCCATTAATCCACTGTAATAACTGTGTGTCCTTACTGAGAAATGGGGATGAGAGAGATAAATGGTAGGATGCTGCACTGTCTTAACATAATGTAAAAACAAAGAACCTGCAGCCCAGATGAGAGGGAGCTGGTGTGTAAAGCCAAACTGTCCTTCAAGCACCCTTATCATCCATCTGCTGGTTATACATGGTGAGGGAATTGGCTGGCATTGCCTGTGTGGGCCCCAGGGTCTCGCTGCTGGAAGCTCCTAGGCCTTACTTGTCCACAAGAGGACATAGGCGATGGTGATGTGCCACGTGGACCTGCTTGGTGATATTCAGCTCCCTGCTGAGACTACCTAATGCTGATGTGCTTGGAGGAGAGCCTCAACTGAGTCATCTATTTAGAGAAATGAAAAGACCTGTTCCCTCAGTTCAGGAGCTATGTCCCTGGGGCGCATTAAACCCAGGCACTAATATGAGTGGGAAGGAGCCTGACTGTAGGGAAGACTACAGCCTACTGTGTGGTCCTTTTATCTGGAATGAGACAGGAAAACCTGAGTTCCAGCCCTTTCTCCAAGGATTTTCCTCCATAATTAAATATTCAATAGACAAAAGAGAACTATATCTTGACTATGTGAGTGTGTACTGGACAGGCTTTGATAATGACTGGGATTAGGGCACCTGTGATAGTGTTGTAGATAAAAGGAATAAGCTTTTGGAAACAAAAATGAGTTTTACCTTCCAAGTGCTCATTCTTTCAGTGCCTGAAAATAAGCCCTGGTTTACTGGCAATGTCTATAGCTTCTTCAAATTTATAATTTTACACGATTATACAATGTTTCAACCCATGTGGAGGCAGTACAAAAATAATGCATCTGCAAAACCTCCCAGGAGAAAGTGAATGTTAGCAAAATAAAAGCTGCTGCTGGAAAGAGGTCTGCTGGCACTTTTTTACCCTGGGTTTGGGGGTGAGGGGGTGCAGAGATATTGTGTAAGATACCCAGTCTGGAGGAGGGGGAGAAAATGTTCTGAGCATAAAAATTAAATGATAGCGAATTAAACCAGGTAACCAGCAGCATGCTGGCCATTTGGCTAGAGTATAAAGAGGTTTGGATTAATTGGCACTAATGAGGCTGTTCTATATAGGGGGTTATATTGAAATACCAACTGTTATCCTTCCTCTATGTGGTGATGAAGCTCCTCTGTATGGTCTTCAGGGGCTGGCATAAAAACTTGATTAAAAAACTAATTTACATTTAGGTATTTGTGCTGGAAAAAAAAAATAGAAAAATGGATCATAAGTTTTTTACATGATATCTGTAACTTAGAATGTACCATTCCAATGACATTTCCTTTTTCCACAAAAAAAAAAAAAGCTATATTGTGTTAATGAATGCAATACTCATCTGGCTACAACCCATGTAACTATCTGTTCTCCCAACAGCTTGTTTCTGGATATCTCTGTGTAATATACTATTAGCTTTAAGGAAAGAGCTGGTACTTGTAGAAGAGATCTGCTTAGGATTTTGCTTTTCCCCCTCACTCTGTATTTTCTGGTGGCTGTGTGTCACATATTGTCTACTTCTCTCCCCTATTTCTGCCTATCCCTTAAGGTTTTTCTATTCCCCCAAAACTCTTGGGGATGTTGCAAAGTTGTTGACTCTTGCGTGGTCTAAATGCAGAGTTTCCTAAGTTGGGGAAGGCTCCAAGCACCTCGACAAGCCTCCTGGCTGTCTTCTGTAACAGAATGTGGCAGACAGCGCTGGCAAAGCTAGGCCCTGAAGTGCAGGATACGTGCTTTGTTTTCTATGCCAGTAGATCTGTCTAGCCAATGCACAAATGTTATCTTTAACACAGTCTTTGAGCATTATACTCATGGAACTAATTTTTTTTACAATGTTTAATGAGATTGTAAACTTTGAAGTTACTTTGGGGGTATTCTTTTAGAAAGTATAGTTTGTGCTTGCAGCTTGACTTGGGCTTTCTCCCTTTCTGGGAATGAAGGAGCTAACAGCCCAGGATACCTGGTGTGGCTAGACTTAAAATATTTTAAAATCTTGCGCTTGAAAGCTAGGTTTCTAAGGATGCCTTTGCCATCTGTATCCTCCCTGCTCTACCCCCATATGTGAGCACAAATAGCCCGTACTATTTGGTAAGGATGAAAAGCTGCAAGAGGTTGGAAGCAACTTTCAGCATAGTAGTGCACCTGCTAGCTTTAGGAGCACAGACTGTAGGAACAGTGCTGCCTCTGCCTTTGAGAACGTGAAATGGTGAATGATGCTTCGGTGTTTGGTCTGGTGGGAGAACTGAGAGGCTGCTGATATGGCTCTGAAAGGGAAAAGCAATGTACTGGGGAGTGGGGGGCGCTTTGGTTACAGTGATATGTTGCTATGTATTCACTTAACTTGATCAGTTTTACTGTTCTGTTCAAATACTTCACTTCTTAAAAGCTTTAAATGAAGAAAATGTGGGGTCTTGAGTGATGCAGCTTTAGCGACTATCAGCCACTCGTGAATATGCATGCTGTGGAAGTTAAACTGTGGCACTTCTCATTTTAAGGTGAAATTGAATGACCTGAAAATGGATCCATCTTCCCCTGTGCTACCAGCAACCATTTTAGAACAAACTGCCTCGCGGCTAGGATGCAGTCCAGCAGACAAGAAACTGGCTTTTCACTTAGATGAAGAAGATGAGTTAAAGCATCTTCGTGAATGCTTCTGCATCCCAAAAGTCAAGGATCTGCCTCCAAGTGAGAATTATAATTACAGTGCAATGGTGTGGGGGGAGGGGGAGAGGTTCTCATCTTCTGCATATGTTTATCACAAATCATTGGAAATCATTGTCACTTATGAGATAATTGAGCAATTGCAGTCATATCTGAGCACAGTATGTCCCTGGTGTTACTAAATCAATCCATCAACTTATTCTAGTACCAAAAGCTTTATGCTCTCATTCCCTTCCTGAATAAAATGTGAGGATACAGTACTTGCATGGTGCTTATGCTGTCAGTCAGCTGCTTTGAACAATATAGTGACTGATTGAAAATTATAGGCAGAAGCATTTCTATCTAATGGTTTGAAACGGCAATGTCGCTTACAACTTATACCAAGGAAGCAACTGTGCTGAACTATAATATAGTTTGGTATTATCTATCTAGTTACAATTATTTTAGTTAATGAAAGAGATGGTACATATATTATATTAACATTTATGCCTTATTGCTGGTAGTTGAGATGATTTTCTTCCTGAGGCCAAATGGAAGACTGTGCCTTAGAACAAATAATTGATCTGAGCAAATAATTCATAATGAAACCTTTATTTGAAGATTGCTTTCTGACTTTCCTCATGAATTGCCTACAAATAGATAACTGCACATGCTTCAATGTTGCCATGTGAAATATCCCCTACCTTTTTTTCTGACTCATCCCTGGTGTGTAAGTCATTCCGAGGAACCTGGGTGTGGGAGCAGGGGTACCTTTGATCAGGTAACTGAGAGGACCTGGTGTTCAGTGAGCTGAGCGGCAGGTGCAAGCCAAGAGGGAAGCTTTTGCTTCATATCAGTAGTCCTGGACCAGAGAAAGTACAAAACATTTCCATGTTTGTGTGACCTGGTGCTGTGCTGGGAGATATTTCTGCTGGCTTTTGTACCCACTGCTGCTGTGCCCGGCTCAAACCAGGGAAACCTGGTGGAAGCATCTACCTCCAAAGGTAATGTGGTCCTAGACTCAGCTCTGCTTCCCAAGTACCATCTGGATTTATTTTCAGCTCCTGTGTTGAATGCATGGGGAGCAAAACCATGCCTGTCTGTAGAAATGACGTTTCCTTATGTGGTAAACATCCATAGGCATAATTGCTCTCCTCCTTTTCCATGTTGGCAGAAAGCTTCTATCAAAAAATAAGGAAAAAAATATATAACTTTCTTGCAAAATATTTTTTTTCTAATAGAAGCAGGTTATTTTTTTCTGAAAAAGGACAATATTGATGGAACTTGAAAAATCACAGTTCTACTCACCAAGTTATTTTGGAAAAGATCTGTGATAGAAAACAGTGTCAATTGTCTGAATTCCTGGATATTTTCAGAAAAGTATCTTTGCCTTGCATGGACATGCTGAAGGCAATGATGAACACTGGGAATGCAGTCTGCTCATGTCCTTAGGATAGAGGGGTGATAAATCATAGCTCTCTATGTACTGGTGGTATTGGCTTATCTGTCTCCATGTTTAAATCATTGAGTTCTGCTATTTATATTATTCAGAGCAGAGCTGGGCACTTTACAAATATTTAAACTAGATGCTTCTGCTACATGAAGTAGGTGCTCTCGGCCTGTCTGCCAAGATGGGTTTTTTACCAGCTGGATTAAGAAGGTTTCACAAACTCCGTGCGAAGTTTGATATGAGTACAGAATAATCGTACCCAAACTCATATCAGTTCAGCTGCCACTGTGCTGCTGGAGCATGATCTCCAGTGCAGTGTAGGCACAGGATCTTATGTTCCTCCTGACCTGGAAAATGCTAGAAGGCAGCTTGAGTGGTTCTCATGCTACTATGCGTGTTCTGGCTGCTCTGTTACAGTCTGGCTCAACAAAGGCATCTGAACTGCAGCTATGTTCTTGACTGCAACACGTTATAAGTCTCAAGATTATGGAAAGTCACTTGCCACTGTAGTATCACAGCAGCTTCAAATTAAAGGATCTTCTGAAATGTACATAGAGGTTTTGATACGTTATGACAGTGTTTATTACATCTGTTCCAACATCCATGATAATCGTTTTTCAATTACAATAATATTAAGACCAAAAGACTATTTCTTACCCCAGTAACTGTAATACGTAGACCTGAGACTGCAGATGTGTTCTAGTGAAGATCAGCAGCCTATTGAGTAGTCCCGGTTGAACAGCATAGAGAACCCATCATTCTTGGGTTCCCAAATTGACAGTTTTTCCTCTTCTTTTTTTCCCAGTCTCTGTTTTCATTCAGCTGTCAATAGGAACAGCTTCCCTGCTGAAAAACAGCAGGGGTGTGAAAATATATATATTTACATTGTGTGTCTATAGAGTAGAGAGATCTCTCATGACATTTATCTTAGCACAGGAACAGATCCTAGATAACATGCTTAAGATAAATGTCATTACAGAGATTAGCCATCAAATATTCTTTATATATTTACATAAAACGCTACAATGGGGCTTTAAAATGAAGCCTTACAAGAATCAGATGAGAACATCCATAGGAGACATGCAAGATTATGTACATTAAAATTAAACTATTATGACTTTCTAAATATTTTTTATCAACTGTCAAGGTTGTGCATACTGTTTGTTACATCAATCAGGTAGAAACAACCAGCAGACTAACTCCCTGGCAAATCCTGGTGCTTTTATGGGTGCTTGTCCCTCAGACTCAAAGAGGGAAAGATGACAAAAGGAGATTTATGGAAACATTCACGTCAGCTCAGAGAACCAATAACTAAGTCTCTTTAATGCTTTTTCTTGCATGGGGAAGGAGGTTAGGAATGACTGGATTGCAGTCAGGTGCCAAATCACCAGTCTCATTAAGGCTGTCTTGCATTTTGTCATCTTGTAAAGGAATTGAGTATCATTTGGGTTTCTTGGGACTAAAAAGATGTACCAGGGTGCAAGTGTTGAGCTGTGCTTCCCTGAAGAGAGAGGGTAAATCCTGTAAATCTGGCTCCTTGTTTGGAGGATTTGGAGGTATGAAGGGAATAGGGAGGTGTGGAAGAGGTGATCTTTCAGCCCTCCCTATAGGATAAGATTCAGAAAATGTATAAGCAGATTTAGTTCTTACTTTCTGGTTAATGAAAACATTCTTTTCCATTTTTGGACTGAATATTTCTGACAACATACTTTAAGGACACATTTCACTAATTATCTTCTGTTTGTTGTGTGCTAGCCTTTATTTCATCAATTGTGCTTGTGTTTATTTGAAAATTGTGTATCTCGTATGTCAACCATAGCTCCACCAGAAATAAAAATGGCTAATTTCTTGAGAAACAAGGGTAGATTGAGGGAAGATAACTAATCTTAATATGAATGCATGATTGCTTAAAAATAGAATAACATAATGACAGTAGAAATTCTGAAATCCATTGAAATGCTGGTCAAGAGAAAGTGAAATTATGAAGATGCTGGGGGGGAGGGGCACTTGAGAAGCAGCAGTGGTCCAAAATGAGTCTTTTAATGATGTCATAGAGGAGGAAATAAGCATCCTTTTGTGAAAACAAAAAGAGTACAGCCTGGTACAGAGTTGATAGTATGCAAAAAATATATATATAAAAATCCAAACTAACAGATGTAAAAGTAGGAAAATGCATTTTTTTCAAAATAATGCTGGCCTTCTTCTACAGTGACCCAAGAGGTGTTATCTGGAGAGGATTGTGGTGCAAGAAAAGCTGACTTATAATTCCTTACCTTTATTTAATGCTTGCTTGGAATATAAAGAGTGTTAGTGAGATTTAGAGCTCTGAATTCTTGAGCAAAGATTCTTCTCTGTATTCCCAATGAGACAGTATTGTTGCCTTTCTTGATAGGGAAAGAACTCTTAATAGAACCAATTTAGGAGCATGAATAATATTTATACCTCTCTGCTTTCATTCATATTAAAATCTGGATGAAAAACAGACATAGTATCTGTTATACAGATTAGACTGAAATTGCTCTCTGACTTATGCTTTTTAAAAGCTTCTAAAGCTTTAATTAAGAAATTACCTAAGTTGTCTATACTTCTGAAAAATGTGTTTCTCGTGAAGTTCAATGATGTTGGTAATTGTTTGTGTGAAAGAGTAAGACACCTCTTCCAGGCATCTAATCTATTTTTCTGCAGCTCTAACATAACATTTTTCTGACAGAAATGCAATCTTATTTGATCCTAGCATGTATATTAAGATATTCATTCATCTGATCTGAGATATCAGTTATGTTTACAAAAAATACATGTAATGTTAGCTTTTAGGATTTTGTAAGTACATGTGTAGATGAATGCAAATTACTTACTACGACTAGAAGGTCACCATCATTTGTCCCTCCAAGATTCTCAAACATGAGAAATAATAAGAAAAGGCAGTGTTTGGATTGATAGATGATGACACGGGGTAATTAGATTGTTCAGAACCTCACTAGAGCTATTATTTATAAATTTCCAGCACCTTGCTTTTCTCCTAATCATTGAAAGGATTTGTCAACATAGATTTCCTCCTCCTCAGATGATGACATGAAGTACAGCCCACAATATATGCTGACGAGACGAGAACTTTTGAGACTGCTTTAAAATATTCTGTGCAATGACTACATTTTTCTAAATAGCAGTTTAATCATGCAGGTAGATCTTACGTGAAAGACACAGATTTACCTAGTCTTAGCTTTTATTAAATGCACAATTCAAGTAGTTTCATGACCTGAAGTGGGAATATATTGATGATGGAAGAAAAGTGGTCTGGTCAGGGAAATGCTCTCTCTTCACTTACCACTGGTTATGAACCTGACAAAATCAGTGCCAGTGGCTTCTTCCCATGCAGCCCCAGAGACCTGGGGATTTAATGCTGCCTGAACTCACATTCGCTCCAAAATAGATATAGATGGACTCGGCCCAAAATTGCAGAAATGCAGCAGAAATAAATGCTTGCACATTTGTATTCCTTCTTAGACCCTTTTCATGAGGTCACTTGTGTGGTATCCTGGGAGGAAGGTCAGGATGGGGCACCTCTGGGGCCCATGGCACCCTGAGGAGCTCTGGAGCAGGCAGCCCTGAGTGGGTACATTCCCTCCTGTGCTCATGCCCACTTATGTTTATGTGGTTTCCCTCCACAGCTGACCTGACACTGGTGAATGGAGAGGAGAGCTGCATATACTTCGCTGGCAATTCTCTTGGCCTCCAGCCAAAACGAGTAAAAACTTACCTGGATGAGGAGCTGGACAAGTGGGCTCGAACGTGAGTGTGCTATGGTGTGTGAAATGCCTGCCCGTGCTTCAGAGGAGAGCTGGGTTTTATTTTGGGGTCTGCATCAGAACGGTTCAAGTAGTGTAAAACTCATCCCGACCCAGGAGTAAAACATGTTCAGTGTTTCCATAGCACTATTAAAATCTCCTTTGAAGATATGCGCTGTAGAAGAGGCAAAGAAACTTCAAGCTTTGATAACCTGTGTTGCACCAGGCAGCTCTGCTTTCCCTCCTCTGAAGGGCTTGCACAGTTTAACCATCCCCATCAATTGCTGCGTGTGTTTATACACAAGATGCACAAACTCACTTGGTTAGTGCTGCTTGCTGCTGAACATGATTCAGCTTCAGGCCCTGTGATTTTTCTAATTCATATTTTAACCGCTTGTGATTCACTTCGTGGGTGTTGTGGTGGGGCCAGCTTCCCCTGAAATGGCACGGAGCACAAGTGGTGCTGCTGGCAGATTACCAGCTCTTCTTCAACCAACTTTATGCCTGACAAGTTCACTTTATTTAGAAAGAAGCATCCCTGTCTCATCAGGAACATCTCTGTAAGGAGCTGAGTGTGGATTGCAACAAGCTCTGCTGAGCAGAGCTGAAGTACAAGAGCCAGGAGGATGAGATACCTTTCAGTAGTGTCCCTTATAGGAAAAGGACATTGTCATTTCAAATGAGAGACTTTTTAGAAGCTTTTTCCCACTGTATGTCTGCATTTTCTTACTTTTTTTTTTTTTTTAAATGGAGAGTCTGTGCTTTGAGGTATCAGCACCTGTCTGAGCAGCTGGAGCAGAGAGAAGAAAAAAGATAACTAGAAACCAGGGAGCTGAAGGCAGGAAAGGAAAATAACACCCAGATGAGTGAGTGAGCTGGGAAAGATGAATACATTACAGGGTATGGGATGTGAGTGGAACCTATGTGATTTCATGGTGAGAAAGCAGAGGAAATATGGGGAGGCAGAAGGGGAAAAGCTAATCCTGCTCGCTGGGCAGCTGTGTTCCAGGAGAAATGCTGTAGATTGAGGTTGCCTGATGTAAATGTGAAAACTTTGTAGCTGCTGCTATACTTGTTAATATATAGATGCTGTGGGTTAATAAAAGTGGTTTACTGTTTCTTATTTATTGCTTATTTTCTTATAAGTGAGAAGAAGGTTGAGAATGAATAGGAGTGAATTTGAACTTTGGGAAGCACGCTTTCCTCCTGGTTATTCATTCAGCATGGCACTGCAGTTTCTCTAGTCATTTGACAAAATTGCAACCCTGTCCACTTCTGTATGATTATCGTACTTTATCAGGGAAACAGCTGAGTTCTTTCAAAAGCTAAAAGTCAGATAAGTCTTATCTGTTAGTGATGCACTGGGAGTGCAAACATATTTCAGCTCCCTCACTGTACCTTTTTATTGGTTTGCTTCCATTCTTATGTTTGCCTTTGCTACAGTGAAGCATGATTCAACCCCAATCCCTGATTATAATAAAAAAAAAAAAGTTGAAAGAAAAGGGTAAGCAACATGTTTCTCCAGAAGACCAAACATGCCTTCAGTAGCTGTATCCAAGGGGGAAATAGGGCTGAGCATGATTTCTAGCCATCAGAAGAGAGTGAGCAAACCTAGGAGGGCTGTTTGCCAAAAACACAGCCCAGATCCCAACAGATTACACAAAATATATCAAAGCTTAAAATAAATAAAATAAAATTTACAAAATCCTGCTCGCTGCAGGTGCACCTAAAGCAACCGAGACAGTCAGGGTAAGGTCAAGGTAAACTTGAACAGAGCTATTTATTTATCAAGAAGCTGATGGGGGCAGAGAGAGAGGATCAGGTACCAGGGGCTGTGGAGGAATAGGTAACTGGAGCACAAATCTCTGCTTTTATTCTGGTTGCCAAGGGCAGAAGGTAGATGTTACCAGCTGAAGCCTGTTCAATGCCTTGTATGTTGGCAGTGTGGAATTCAGTGGCTGTGGCTCGGATAAATAAGTAGCAAGTATCTAAGAAATGGCATATGAATTAGACACATCCTTCAAGTCAGCAATGATATAGATTCTGTCTCTTAGAAAATGCGATAAACCAATTTGTTTGTTGTGTCACGGGACTCGTCTCAAACAGCCACTATATTGTCAGTTTAAGCTGTTTTCACCACTTATAGCTGATAGCTGGAGTGAAGGGGAAGATTATCTGGGAGCTGTCGGCAAGGGCAGGGAAGCTTGTAGCTCCAGCTCTGGGTGCCGATGGCTGTAACTCATTAGAGCAAGGCCTGCAGGGGAAGAGGCCTTTTCATGTGTGTTTTTCTCTTGTTGTGTTCCCTCTCGCAGCATCACAGTCTTCCTCACATACACAGTTCAAATGGAGGGTTATAGCTTTCTTCTCATACATCTGACTACCGCGTACCTGTTCTGTTTTGGGATTCTTTCTTGCCATGTTCCCTGGTTTTCTCTTTTATGTTAATGTATAGAGACTACAGATTCAAGCCTCTGGCATTCTTAGCGGAGATTTAAAAAGAGCCTTTGAGGCTTCATCCTTTTTTCCTGTTTTGATTTCTGCTAAATCCAAGATTTCTTGAACAGGGGCAAAAAATGGTTTGTCTCCTTTCTGCTTAGCCTAAAGTCAGTAACAGTCTTTTTTTTTTTTTTTAAATAATCTAAAAGACCAAGGTTTGGGTTACTTGCCTAGTTGGATAAAGGCCAGTAGATGCTTTGCAGTGTCTTGTTTTCCCCTTTCTCTGTCAGAATTGTTTACACAATTAATGTATTTTATAGAATCATTATTGCATGCAAACATACTCGGAAGTGTGAGACATTGCCCGCTGCAGTACCTCATTAAAGTGGCACTATGAAACCAGAAGGCAGTCTGCTTGCAGCACAGCTACGTGCTTCTGAAGGGCTGGAAGGGTGACCGGGGAGGGGAGAACCTGTGATGGGGAAGTTCTGAGGATTAGGCTTGTTTAGTTGAGCAAAATGAAGACTGAAAAGCAAAATAGCTGCTCTCTGTGAATGTATCATGAGGTAAACACAGGAGAGAGAAAAAGAACCACGTTATTTAATATGCTTGTGTAGTAAATATAAACTGGGAATTAAGGCATTCAGGCTAGAACCTAAATATATATACTTCAAAGCATTGAAGCAATCTGGTAGCAACCTTCTGGTACAAGTAGAGTAGAAAAAAATCCAACTCTAAGGACAGCTTTGCAATATAGCACCTGCAGTAGTAAAAGGCTGTTTTCAGTCCATCAGAAGGGTGTATTTTGGTTCTATGTGCTCAGCTAATCCTGCAGGATATAACATAAAAGCCCTGCAAACAGGAATACATCTTGGTGGGGCTCAGGCAGATCCACTTCTGCTTTTCTACAGTTGTCTCTGCTTTGTACACTGCAGCAGATTGCATGTTATAGCTGTAAATGTCTGCTTTACCCTTTTTTTTTTTTTATTTTTTGCCTTGAATCTACTGCTCCATGCAGTTCTTGTTCCTTGGACGTGTCTTCTTTTTACTTTTACTTTTTTTTTTTTTTTGCTTAAAACCATTATGAAGGTTAAGGGTTTGTGTTGGCTCCTTAAATATCTTGCATCACTTTTGGCAAAGGAGCAAGGAGGAAATTTCCACTTGAACAAGATTTGGATGAGCACAGAAGATTCCTGAAGCTGGCAATTAATTTAAATCCCTTTTGTTACCTCCTTTGAAACCTGGGATCATATCAGAAAATGTGTTTCTAGCTCCCCTAGTGAGCTTTAAATCAACCAGGCCTCAGCAAATAAAATGTGGCATTGTGATTCCTTGCCAAATTGAAAATAAAATGGTAACTGACTAAAAATTAATTTGCAGAATAAGAAATTCTCTCAGTAGTTCAAGAAATAGTTCTGTTTGTATGATGCTTTATGATTTGATGGGCAATGTTTTGTATCCATTAATTTGAGGGCCTTGATTTAAATCTCTCTCACTATCTAGGGTGCAGTGGAAACAAAATGAAAGGTAAGCTCCTTGTGTCTGAGGGGAAAGCCAGAAGCACTGCAGTTGTCCTTAAAGATTATTACCCCTAGTGCCTACCAGAGCTGAGAGAGGGGTGGCATAATATACAGAGATATAAATTCTCTGAGGCAGAGCATAGAATTTTACAACCTAAGTGTAATAGGATGTATTGTGCCATCAGCAAAGGCTACAGAGTTTCATGTGATTAAAATAAAAAAAGGGGTCCAAGAATATGCCTTTAACTACCATTTTAGCTGCAATAATTTTTGTCTCTTGGCATTTATATTGGCCATCAAGAGGGAGGCAAGCTGTAAGATGTGCTGTAATAATAATAATATGAATAATAATTAATGCTGTCTCTACCCTCTTTCACTATACTTAATTTTTCATGTTTTCTTCTCAAAATAAAATATTCTCATGCCTGAAATCTCATATCTGTTTTCATGAGAACTTGGAAATTTATTCTGAAATTTTGTTAGTTTTGTGTTTTGGTAGAGAGAGCTTTCATCAGTAAATTCCCATTAGGAGGACACTAATGGCTATAAAATCAGAGAAAGCTAATGAAAGAGAATCCCATAGGTAGTTAGGGCTTTTTTCCTATCTTATTATGTTCACTATCCTCTTTCAGAAAAAAACAGATCCCCTTGGGCTGGGAGTCACCAAAAAATCTTTTTTTCCTTAACCGTCTGCATTATCCCTAAGTCCCCTAATCACTATATTACAGTTAAGGATAAGAAGGGAAATTACCAATAAATGTCTTGCTGTTTGTGAAACACATACCACTGTCTTCAGGGAAAGCAGTAGCATCACGTCCTGATTGAAGAAGCTAGGAAGAGCATTTTCTCCCCCTACCCACCTACTGCCTTTGCTCCTCATCTATGAAATGTTCTTGTAAATGAGTGCAATTTCATACTGCCCGCTTTCTGCTCTCAAGATCTCATCGGAGAGTAATTCTGAAACTCAAAAAAGCAGTCAGCTGGTGTACTGTGACCTTATCCAAATTAAGGATTGAGGCGGTCCTCTTCATCAGTGGAGGATTAAACTTGTTGAATATAGCAAGACAGTATTTTATCCATAGGAGGCTCAGTTGTACATGTGTTCTTCAGCTATTGGACTAAATAGTAGCTATTCCAAAACCAAAGTGTTTCACAAGGTTAATCATAAAATGGTTAAAACAAATTGCACTTTTGGCAGCAGTTTGTATTTTCTTCAGGGCTGTGGTTCTTCCTCTGTTATCTCTAAGAGGTGTGTTATACACAAGTTAATCAGAGCCTGACTATAAAGGCACCCAGGTTATTTGTGGGAGATAGAACAAAATTCTGCCTGAGACAGGAAAGCTGGATAGGTAAAATCTTCTAAATAGGCTAAAGCATAGGAGAGTTAAAGCATGTCAGCCTTGCATCCTTTTTCCTGTCTTAATCTGCCAGAAGTCTTATTTTGAGTGAATATGGGGGCTTGTTCCTCTTTAAAAGGCTTATTACTTGTTTTTTTTTCTTTCTCTCATCACAGCTTCTAGGGCTCTTTTTAATTTCTGCCCAGTTTCCTACTGGCTTAGGCCCTTTTTGAAGCAGCTTTCTATTTGGTTCACATGCAGCCTGGCATTTCTGACTCTAAAGGTACCCTGTGGTGCTCAGCAAATATGAAAATCATCCAGTGTGAGATGGAAGCCCAGGGCGATGTTCCCCTGGATTAGCACCATTATTACTTTTCTCAATCTGCCTTCATTTGCATTTAAATCTGTACTCTACATCCAGTATGTTTAAGAAACTTTGCTACTTTTTATTTTTGTATGCATGGTGGCTACTTTAGAAGTTTACTTCTGTCACATTTGAAGCAAAAAATATAAATCAGAGCACTTAATCCAGTAATCCAGAACTGAATGTACACATTTGTCTCTCCGGAGTAGTGGTGCGTTCATGTCTAAGGTGTTGATATTATCCACTACAGATGGAAACAGTTTGCAAAATAAAGTTTTAAGATGCACTCTTAAAACAAAAAGGTTTAAGCACTTAGATCTAGAATAATTTGGCATGGAAGAGGGAAAGAAATAAAAATTAGTGCACATCTCTGCTTGGGCAGGTGATTCCCTGAATGTACTTGAAGTACCTGCTGGTTTATGCAGAACGATGAGCTCTGACAGGAGATTTGGGTGACAAACTGTTGGAAAAGAAATACGTATGTCTGGGAGGAAGGCAGTGTTGAAGACTGTTATCCTCTGCAGTGATGATGTTCAACTAGAAATGCAGGAGGTGCACCTCTAGGGTGATTGCAGCTGAGCTTGTGGATGCTGCCCTATGTGGGGCAAGGCCATGCCCTGTCCCTGCTTGCCCCTTCCCAGGGCTCCCTGCACCATGCAGACACTGCCAGGGGCTTGGGATAATCTCCTCTAACTTTAAGGGATTTCTAGAGGGATTTTGGTGTCAAAAATGTCTTCCAGTAATTGAAAACCTGTGGGAAACTGATAAATGTTTTTAATTTGTTAGTTGATCTAAGTCTTAATTGCTATAATAATAGCCATGTGCTCAACTTAGGTGAGTCTTCCTCCTCCAAATGTGGGCTATATAAATCAGTTTACATTTCTTAGGACTGATCCCAAGGGAGCAATGTCTGTTTTCATCTCTTGCCTCTTCTCTTTCAGAGGTGTTCATGGCCATTTCAATGGTCAGCGCCCGTGGGCTTTGGCAGATGAGTGCATCGTGGACCTGATGGCTGATCTGGTTGGTAGGTGTGAACTACAAGAAAAACCTTTCTCTAGAAATGAAACAAACTTATTTTAAAATGGAAAGTCTTGATACTTTGCAAGCAGAACTTAATTCCTTTTTTTTGTGTTGGTGATATTTCTGATTGCCTAGTATGTGGCATAACATTTTAAGTCTGTAAGTGATTTAGGAGATAAATGTAGGCAATAATATATGAGCATATGCATATCAAAAAACTAATTGCAGCAAAGGGTTTCTTGGAGCATCGTAAACCACTTGGTCTAACATGTGAAGTCCTTTTAAAGGGCACTTGGCATTACAGATTCTCAGCCTCTCTCCTGGAAGTGAACCAATGAACTTTCCCTTTTGAAAAATGATTTATACCTAGACATTTTCTGCTTTTCTTCCATTCTTCATCACTAAATCCAGCCTCATATTTGAGAACTGCTTATGTCAATGAAGCAGATAATTGGGGCAGGACCTGCTATTTGTAAGTTCCCATTACCCTCCTGTACTCCTTGAGGAGCCTGCATGCTGCAGGATGTGGGCAGTAAATGCAGCTGGTTATACTGGAGATTGAAATGTAGCCCTGGAGACTTCTCCTGGTGAGTTTGTCAGCCACAGAAGCAATTGCCTGAGTTTGAATGCAAATTTACTTCATCACCTCTTGCTTTGACCCGTATGTAGTTGCTAAAATAATCTTTCATTGGGATTTCCTTCAGACTTCTCCCTATTAAAAGGGGAAGAGAAATGTTGCTGGCATAGACTCCGATAGACCCTTTTTCTTCCCAACCATTACAGCTGTTGTCAAGGCTAGGTTAGTAGATTCTAGTACGGTATAGCCAATGTTTCAATTTATCTCTTGAGGGTAACTGTCAATAGTGACCATATAAACCATGTTATCATTTGTTCATTTATGCCTTCTGTAAGGAAAAATATTAGTTATGCTGACCTATTGTATATTAGATATTGTCTTGTGTAATTTCTCCTCCAGCTATAGACAAGTGTTCAATGAGAAGGGTGTGTGTTTTCTCCTTCAAGAAAAGCTAATAGATTCTGAACAGCAGGAAAGGCATTAAGGAATGTTTAATGGCAGGCTTCTTTATAAATTCACTAAAGCAAATGAAGGGAACATGTGCGAGCTTTCTGATTTCTCCATGAAGCTTCCTAACCAGTAGAGTATAGAAAATTATTATTGTACCAGAACAAATACAGGAAAATACTTATACTTGGCCTATCTGTGATATAAATATTGATGTAAATAAATAGTGTAGCTACACTGAGCATCACTGTGTTGGTGGAACAATCCTATTTGTAGTATGAAATAAAACCTAAAATGCAGCACTGTTCTTCCGTCTTCCTGGGTTCTAATTTTGAAACTTGTTACCATAATACATCATATTCCTCAGGAGGTGAAGAAAGTGCTTTTCTTGTTCTTTTTTGCCCTGTTCAAGGGTACTTAGTGCATGTATCTGGTACATATCACAGAATATAAAAATGTAAGAATATAAGGGTAATCTGCCAAAATAGTGGGCACGGCTGATTTAGGGATTAGCTGATTTTCCTCTAGTCTTTTCTGGCAAGTAGATGTTTTTGTTCTGGTTGTGTAAAACTGGGGACATGCGGACAGGTGGAGAAATGTGACATCACACAACTGCCTTGACGAATAGTAAGGGTTTTTGGATTTGAAACCTTGAACTTAATTAACTGGAGGGCAGTTATGAACCCCTTGTTATCACCTCTCACCGCAACATTTCAGCGAATGTCTGCCATGGGTCTGATTGTGATACCTGCCACCCCAAAAGGGTAATGCTGTGGGCTGGACACTGACCTCTTCCTACTCTCTCTGTCCATTTGGCCACAATTTTAGGTTAAATGTCACTGCGGAAAGCAGAGAGTCAGGCTTTTCCCCTTTAACATCTGACCTGCAGAGGCTGTATTATTTCAGTGTGTTTTGTTTCTTTATTTACAGAAATATTTTGGATGTGAAGAGAGGGAAATGAGAGCTTTGCTTAAGTTTCACTGAATTTCTTGTCAGCCTCCCTATTTTTCTTTCCCCAATCCCATATGACACAGTTTTTTGTCAAATGGGTTAGACTACTCTGAACTTCTGACAACTCTGTTCGTTTCAAAGTGATACGTGTATTTTAGTTTTCTATGAAAATGATGACTGAGGTCACCCTACCAATTAACCTATTTTAGTTTTAAAATGCTTTAGTGGAAAGCTTTTCATAGTTCTGTTTTCCTCAGCAATAAAGGGAGTGTCAGTATTATCAGTTTGGGTTTTGTTCTCCAGGCTTTTCTCAGGTTAGTCTAGTTAAAATATAAAATGTGTTTCGGGCTGAAATCTGGTCTTCAGACACTCACAGCAGCAGGTTTTTATTTAGATAGTACCCTTATAACTTTTTTCATGATCTACAGACAATATCCTTAAGAAGGGAAACCAATTAATGTTTCCCAAATGATAGATGCCTTATAATAAGTGGCATTAATATTTATATAACAGTGAAAAGAGTAAATGTGAGGAAAATGTTTTGCTAAAATGATATTTATTATGTACTGTCTTCCAGCAAGGTGTGATACCAAGTGTGCATGACTTGAGTGAATTCTGAATTGCCCTTTTTGGTGACTTTAATGTAAGAACATAAACAGAATTTTACACTCTTTTTATTCAATATTTAATATGTTATGGAAGAAGAAGAATTGTCACTTCTCACTCAAAGTAGCAGTAAGCAAAAATTATTTGGAGAGATTTATTCAGGAATCTGCTAAAGCCTGTAAAATATCTCTGTCCATTTAATGGTTTATAGTGCTATAATACCTTGCTTATTAAATGCAGTCACATTTTCTTGTTCAATGAAAGTTACAGTAGTAAATATGTTGTGAAATGCAGAATCAAGGTCAGTGGAGGCCAAAGCTTTTCTCCACGCTCACACCAAGCAGCATAATGTGGTGCTGGTAATCTCAGCTGCTCCTACCAGACTTTATTAGAACATTACAACCTTGGCAGGATCACATTCTGATGGAACAAGATTAACTGTATGGGTGCTGCTCCACAGTGTGTGCAAGTCCCTGTTGAGGGAAGACTGAGTGCTGAGCAGACTTGTAGTGACTTTGATAAGGATCATTTGAAATAACCAAACTCTCTTCTGAACTGGGAGCCTTAGCCCTCTTTTGAATCACTTTACAAAATGCTTTTTACTTATTCTGGTATGGATCAGGCTCTTGCTGAAGTCAGAACAGAGAAGGATGGCAGTGTCTGCCTAACACAATCATAATAGTCTCTGAAGTTGTACTTTGCAAATGCTGCTTCCTTTTATTAAAGAGGAGATTTATCAAGCAGAACATACAGGTTTTAGCCTGTCTTGGAGATACGGTATAAAGTTAGGAAATAAAGAAAGCAAACATAATTGTCTCCTGTGTGCTGGGTCTTTGAATATTGTAATAGGTTAATTGGATCATGGAAAGGTTGCTTTCTGAAACACAGTGCAGGTTATAAAGGATAACAGTTTTCCAATGACACGGATGAGGTTTGTTTTGTGGGCATGAAATTCAATAATGGAAGGCTTTTAATAAATATATAATTTACGGAAGACCAAGACTTACATGACAAATGTAGTGTCATATTTAATTTGGGATGCTAGCGTGCAGCCAAAAGTGATCTACAGATTAACCATTTGTTTTATATGGTAACAGTACAGTGGGCAAAGGATTGCTCATGCAGAATTTGCTGTGAAAGCCACAGATTTCATGGAAGGAGCAGAGGGAGAAATGAGAACAATACCATTTCTTGATGCTATCCTTTTTTTCAGCCTCAAGAGTTCCATAGAAATATTAAGACTGCAAATAACACTGTTTTGAGCTGCAATCACTCTCTAGCTGTCTTCTGTATCTGCAATAGAACAGCCACAAGGTGACCCCTTCCAGCAGCATGGAGCCTGCAAATACAATGCTATCAGAGGGAAGAAAAAGCAAAGGAGAGCAGTTTAAGTGAGGAGAAGAGCTTATTTTTCCTGCTGAAGAACTAAGTTCACTTATACTTCTTCCCAAAAACTTGATGAAGTTCTGAGTGTCTGGAGGAGGGAAGTTATTCAGGATACTTTTTATCCCTCATGGCACATCCCCTGGACAGGTCCTTCAGAGTCCCTGACAGCAATTGACAGATCTTTGTCCAATACTAAATAGATTTCAGCAATACAAAGAAGGGCCACCGGATGCCTCAGTCAGAGTGGTTCTTGGCTTTTCCTGCGGTGGCAGAAGCTGAGGCCTGCCTGGCAAGGGTTTATGAAGAAACCCTTTGTGATCACAGATTGCCACATTTTTGAGCTACATTTCCTTGTATTGTGTTCAGCCCATAATTATGTCTTTTTGGTGAAGTTGTAACTCATTGAAGCTACAATCCATAGGATATAATGTGGAAGTGTTTCTTGTGTTAGCATGGGGCCTTGTGTACCCTCTGAGGTCAGGACAGGAGAAATACAGGATACACCTCTCCCTTTCTGTGCCTCCCCTTCCTCTTTTTGCCCCAACAGCATGCTTTCTTTTCCTCTTTCCACATCTCAAGGATGCTGCTGTCCCTCCCTGCCTTGCACACACTTCATCCCTCCCTGGCCACAACCTCTTTCCACCTACAGCAGATTCCACTGACAGGCGGTGACTGCAGCAACAGCACACAAGCCCGTCTTCCAGCTGAAGAGGACTCAACGCCCTGATTTGTCAGGGGTGAATTACTGCTTTTCAGCAACAGACATCAGGCAAAATGGAAAGAAATAAGGATTGATTTTTCTCCATATCTCAGTGCAGACTGCCCTGCCTTGCAGTCCCTCATCCTGCCTGAAACCTTTCACCAGTGGTTGATAAGGGTTTGAGAATTCGTTACTAAACTGCTTTGTAATAACAACAATTAGTTGTTACTCCATTAGCTCTGTCTGTGATTAGCTGTAGCCAAAAGGCATCTGTTATTACCCTCCCTGGGGCTATATGGGTATAGCTTCCTGCTAAGCTGCCACATTAATAATGGCCTGCTATATTCATAGGACACTTTTGCTAGTTGTTTTATTGAGGGAAGAGGTTAAGTTTGACATCACTGTAACCGCTTACAACAGATGATTGTCTCAATATGTTTTCTTGCTTGCTTTACATATAAACTTATGACAAAAATAAGTCTGCAATAAGTCTGCAAGACTTGCTTTACGTACAGACTTATGACCTGATTTTTGTCTGTGGTATTAATGATAATAAATCTGCTAGTGCTTTGCTGGGAAATGGAAATACTTCATTGTTTTTTGTTTTCTGTGGCTGACCTAAAGAGAAATATTTTCCCGCCAGTGTGGTGTAGTGAGTCAGACAAGAAATCCTTTTTCTTCACTGTGACACCTCAAAAGTTTGTTTACTTTCTAGTCTTTAGAGAGACATCGACTCAAAACATACCTTTGTTTTCTAAATGCATTACTAGATTTGAAATTGTAAAGAAAATCCCAGCTAGTATATATATTTTTCTTTATTTCAGGAGCCCAAAGACATGAAGTAGCCTTAATGAATGGGCTAACTGTTAATTTGCACCTCCAGATGGTATGTCTTTTACAATGTTTATTTGATGCTGTGTTGACAAGTTTTTCCTTCATTTGTGAATGGTGTTAACAAATATGCCTTTCCTTTATTTGTTAATGTAATCAAAATGTTTTGTAGGGACTTCACAAAGAAAGCACTATTAAAAAAAAAAAAAACACAAACAACACATCTTTTTCTTAAGCCTTGGGACTTGTATCTTGAACAATACAATGTGTCAGACTTCAGAGAGGATACCTTATTTAACATTACTTTCTAAATAGTTGCTCAACTACGGATTCTACATCAAATTTCAAAGTGTGAGAAACAGAAGTTTAGTTCTTATAAATTTAAAACAGGTATTTGAGTTCTGTTTATATAACCACAAAATGTTACAAAAATCTGTTTAGTTTTATGAAATAGTTGTCTTAGATGTGATTTCATTATGAACAGGTCTCTTGATGGTTATATAAAACTGTCCATGGTTCTCCAGTGCTATCAAAGTGTTGGTTCAACAGAACGAATATGAGAGGGTTCATGCAAAAAAAAGAAATCTGGACCTAGTCTTCTGTAACAGGTTTCTGACCTTTCTCAAATTAAGACATGAGGCAGGGCAGGATGCAGCTAATTAGCCTGGCTACTTTGCTCTGAATTAGGTGCAATGCAGCCAGACCTGTGCCACATGTGAGCAGCAGCCCATGCTGAGCTTGGTCTAATTTCTTCTACACCAATGTTGTGAATAGGAGGGCTCCTAAATAGTCTTCTACTCTTCTTGGCATGGTGACAAGCGCAACAGCCTCCACACCAGGAGAGGAGTAGGTGAGGCCATTCACCTACAGGTGTTGAAATGGATGAGAACAAGGTCTTTGCAGCAGACTTTGTCCTTTGGTCTGTCTTGTTTCAGAGGGAATGACTTGATAACTGACATTTTAGGACGGGGGGGTGGAAATTCAGTTCTTCCATGCCGTTTGCATGCTTCAGCTTGGGAGAGATGGAGTAGGGTGAAATCCTGACTTCCATGGCCACAGTGAAGCTTTGACACTGATTCTTGTAAATGCAAATTTTCACTGTTGGATTTATAAGCCCTTTGTTATGAATCTATGAAATAGAGTATTATAACACTTTCCTACTTTGATGAATGTTATATGGACAAAGAATTATTTGTGATTTCTGGGGTACTCTCAGTAGTCTGCATGAAAGTAAAACAGTCTTTATTAAGTTACATACTGGGAACATCTCTCTCATCTCTGCTTTACGTACATTCAACATATCTTTTTTTCTGTTCCTAACAGCTATCTTTCTTTAAACCTACTCCAAGACGCTATAAAATTCTTCTAGAAGCCAGAGCCTTTCCCTCTGACCATGTAAGAAATTAATATTTCACCATATTTGTATTATTAATCATATTTTTCCAAAGAATATCAGTAGCTTGATTTGAATATTTATTAGCTCATCTTGTCCAAGTAACGTTACAATAAAAAAATCTGTCAGAAGCTTTTGAGCTCAGCATATTTTACAGATCGTAGCTTTACTCCTTTTGTTCAAATAAAAAATGTTACAAGAGGAAAAGATTGAATGGGCACATTGATTTATTAGACTTTTTTAAAGACATTGAGCAAACTACTGACCTAAATCAACTGAAGTTGTAAATGTTTTATTAATTCTTGTTGCTGTTTTACTTTATGAAACCAAATCAATACAAACTTACAACATTAACACTTATATATCCCTAGACAGAGATGGAAATGTTTGTTCTTAGCACTTTAGATTACTAGTTCAAATATAATTTGTCTGCTATAAAATAAGAGACAATAGTCCGTGCATCACAGCTTAGAACAAATTAATCTTTGGGTTTGTGGCCCACTGCTGCTTTATCATCAACTCCGTAAACTCGTAGAAATTGATAACAAATTTGATCTCTAAGGTGTAATAGAAACAACTCAAACTACTAACAAGTTTATTTGTAATAAAGGAGGCAGCACGGATGTGTGAACTCAAAATTGCCTTTATTCTAAATAATGCTCATGCTAATCATGCATTTGTTCCAGGTGCACTTGTACATTTGGACTCCATCTAAAATTTCTATGACACTTGAGTAATACCCTGTGCAACTAATAATGTTTTGGTTCCTGTCAAGTAATTTTGAACTATCTATTAGTATTACTCAATGATTTTTTAATGCCATCTCCCAAACTATTATTTATTGATAAAATCAGTGGGTAAGAGTTTGAAAATAGCCTTAGAGTTGATAGCTCGTTTCCTCCCAGCTGTGCAGCAAATATAAGATGTGAGGATAGCGTGGGCCAGCATATATGTACCTACCAAACCTCATTTGCACAAACAGCAGTGCATATGTAACAGCCTAGGATTTAGCATGTGCTACCAAGCAATGTGCAGACCAAGGACTACAGTTAAGCAGCACAACCTATAGCTTTGCTGCTGTGTTCTCACCTTGGCCTTTATCTGTGCAGGCTTTGCTTGCTGGTGTGTGGTAAAGCACATCCTCCACCACATTTCCACTCTCTTTCAGCTCCATGAGCTCATCCTATAGGATGTAGGATTTGACTTTATCCTTGCTGTCTGCTCTGAATTACATTCTGATGTTTTTCAAACCAAAGGAAATCTAGAATGCTTTTGAAGGAGTCGGATTATGCTTTCAAGCATTAATTTTAGTGAAAGGCAGGCATCAGAATCCCTTTTCTGAAGTTCTGCTGCACTTGGCAGTTTTTTCATTTTGTTGTCTTATGTAATTACACTAATGTGCTATGCATGGAAATCTCTTGCAGTATGCTGTTGAGTCCCAGCTTCGACTTCATGGACTTGATGTGGAGAAATGCATGCTCATGATGCAGCCACGAGAGGTTGGTGAGACATAAGTCAGCTCTCCTCACTAATAGAAATGTATTTCATGTGAGAGTAGTCATATATTCCCAAGTATTCTAGTGTCTGATTGCAGAAGCTGTAGTCTATTTCTTCACAACACTTAAATACTTACTTAGACTTATGCAAGCTTTACCTAAGTTTAAATTAGGTAGAATTTGAATTGCATATTCTGTTTCTGGGTATGTTTTTTTAGTATTAGAGGCCATTTTATAACTGTCTGGTTCAACTAGCATGTTTACCTTAAAAATGTTACTTTCCCTATTTTTCCTGTTTGTGAAAAGCTGACAGTTCATTGAGAAGTCCCAATGTCCTTTTAGTGTCCTAAGGTAAAAGATTTCCATAACATGAACAGCATTGTGTCTTTATCAGCACAGAACAAGGGAAAGGTCTGCTTTGAGTAATATGCAATTCAGATTAATTTGAAAGATTGCCTTGCTTCACTTTTTGCAGTATTAAGAACTTTGCCACCTAACTATAAACTGATGGTGACCTTTTGCTTCTGAAATCTGAGTCATCTTGTGAGTAAAGAGCCCGTTCCTGAATGCTTGATAGATTTGCAAAGATTGTTGGGATAATAACAGTTGCAATACTTGCAATTCAACAGTCTTGTCCAAGCTCTTTTCAGTAACAAGTCTAATTTAATTCTAGGTTTTCACTGCCTAATTGATCCCTAGGTGGTGGTATGTTTTACATGATCCCTTGCTAGGAGGATGGGGCAGTAACTTTCCTGTAAAGAATCAAGAATGAGGTTTTTTTTGGTTGAAGTTCCTCTATATTTAATGACCCCAGGTTTGGGGATTTTTGTACTTTTGATGATTTGAGACTTATTGTTTTTGAAATATAAATATGGCAGGTTTATAATAGCTTCCTGTGGGATATGAAGTTTATCAGAAAAGTACAGAGTGAAACTGATAGACAACTTTTAAGCCTCGCGAGTGTCACAAATTTCAGATGCCACATAAAAATCATTATATATGCTGTTTTTCACTGTAAATTAAATGTCTGAAATATTAAAGAGTATGAAGCATGCTAGAATATGAAGTGAATAGACATTTTAAAACTGGTACCTTCAAGATAAGTTTGCTAATGATTTTTTTGAAGTAACTTACTCATAGGCTACTTCATTGCTCTACCTTTGTATATCATTACCATGATAAGGATTTGCTTTTGATCTCCTTATGCAAGCAGCATGGCTCATGGTAAAATATAGATTATGAAATAAGAAATGACAGTTTCATTACTGCCAGAGCTGATGTAAAATGTGAGCTTTAACTTTGTTTTAGGGGGAGGAGACCTTGAGGATTGAAGACATCCTTTCTGTAATTGAGAAGGAAGGGGACTCTATTGCTGTTGTTCTGTTCAGTGGGGTGCAGTACTACACAGGCCAGTTGTTTGACATCCCCAGAATTACAAAGGCTGGCCAAGAAAAGGTAGGATTGCTCCAAACCGATCCTTTAAAAATATTTTAGATCAATTTTCCTCGTGAAATGTTTTAAATTTCCACTTTTTGTGGAACAAAACAGCATAGGTGGAAACCTCAGGGGCTGTGATAAAAAGTAAAAGCATGCTGTGCGCAAATCCTCTGGGGACTGTGCGCTGCATGAAGAAAGAGGGCTGCAAGAGCAATCTCACAGGTGGGACTTAAGGTATGTGGAGAAATTATTCATGACTATTGACTTCTACCAGGCTTTCAAGTAAAGATAGAATTTCAAGAAGCTCAATGGAGAAGAGGGAGGAGGTAATCAGAGACCCAATCTTTAAAGGTTTGTGCTAGATTTCCACTCTTTGGCAAACTTTCATGGTTTTCCTCCTTTCCTGGGGTGTTTGCCCCCAGTGAGCAGGGAGGTGAGCTCCCACACAGCCAGTGATGCTCTGATTCAATGGATGAGTTTTCAGAAAACAAGCTCTACGTGAAGCACATCAATGCCACAAGATGGCTGTGTTTAAGTGATGACTCAGCCGTAGGAACTTTCAGACAGTGTGCTCTATGGGCATAGCTGTAAAACGTCTTTAACCATCTCAATTGCCTCAGGAATTCAAGAGAAAATAGTTTTTAATTAAGTCTTCTTATCAACTGGAGGTCACCAGACTTTCTGTAGGGGCAGCATCTTACTGGATGTACCTTATCTAATATAAACCACTCAAGGAAAAACTTATTAGTATCACTGGGTTTTTGCAAACCAGTTAACAATTTATATTTGATATTTATCTGTTTGGGGAGTTTCCTGGCTCATATCAGGGTATACATCTTCTGTTGCTGTAGGTTTGGTAGTGGAAATTTTTCTGTATATAAAAAGTTCTCACTGAGCAGCACAGTTGACAAAACTGGTCCCAAACAGTACAAAATGATACCAACTTCTTGACACAGTTGAAGAAAGCCAAGGAAGAAAGAAAGGAGAGGAATTTGCTGCAGAGGTGAAAGGGTCTGTGCATTAGCCCCACATAGCTCTAAACAACAACATGGTGTCTTTCTTTCCAGTACATTTATTGCTAACAAGTAGTCAGAATGCTAGGCTGTACATTTGATGAAAAGGAAGATAGGTGATTAATAGGATGATGCCAGTCAGTGCTGTGCTCAGTCATGTTCCTGGTGGCATCAGAACTTTTGTTCAGCCACCAACATCTGTTTGTGTACTGCTTCTTCCACAACCCCCCTCTGTGAAGGGTCTAAAAAGCGATTGAAATCTTTCTCCTCTACTGTAAATTTGAACAATCTGGGAAAAAAAAAACTATCACTTTATCTCCTCTCTTAAAGACGCTCACCGCACTGTGAGACACATGATCCAAGAACTGTAGCTTTACTGAAGTCTATAAATGAACCCAGAGTGGCCAAGATCATGTATTCCATGGGAAAAAATAGTCACCAAGAGTTCATTATATGGAACAAAAATGTATTTGCTTGTCATTTGAGAAGATAACCAAGATTTGTTTTAGAGCTAAAAATTTCCATAGGGCAATGCAAATAAAAATCTTAATTCATGCAGGAGGGAGCATGGGCTGCGGAGTCCCCATGAATGCCTTCTCATGGATGTAGACACAAATTTTGCACACCTATACAGAAACTGTATCATACCAAAGAGGAGAGCCATTTCAGACAGCAGCTCAGTCCCCCAACAGGCCCAGATAGATGTCAAATGCCTATCTCCACCTGTGTGCCTTTTTTAGAAGCACCATGGGATGCAAGCAAATCTCCTCTTTCAGAGATTAAGAAAGTATTTAAGAAAGGAAGAGAAAGGAATAAAGTATTTTAATTAACTGGTTTGTGGTTAGTGCATGTAGGACTAGGATTCAGGTAAATTCATGACCTGGAATGTTGGAAGTATATTTAAAGAAAATGTTGGAAGTATATTTAAAGAAAAGTAATTCAGCTTTGAAGAAGTGCTTGAGTGCCCAGAGAGCCTTAAAAGCATGAGGCAGCCCTGTTTTTACCCCACTGTCAGATACACTTAGCTCAACATCCTTATGAATTCTGCTCTCTGGGTTAAGTGATGTTTGTTTACACAGAACTACTATATAGCATACTGTTACATCACATTTAAAAACAATCTTCATATTGCAAATATTTACTTGAGCAGCTATTAAATCAGCAATTCATGAAAAGTTTGTTGTGTTAATAGCAGTGGGAGGTTTTCCTGTATCCTGCTGCTTCTTGGTCTTGGATTCTGGTTACAAAAGAGCAAAGTGTTGGGTCTTCATAAGCAATTGGCTCTTCTGTTCTGTTATGAAATATTACTATTTTTGATTATGGAGAAGTTTTGATGAACTGTTGTATGGTCTTCGAGAAGTGAGGTGCAAAGGGAGCAGGTATAGTTAATCTCTCTAAAGAAAGATTACCTGATTTTTTTGTTTCATTTTGTGAAAAGTTTTGCTGTACATCCAAATGAACCCTGTGTTTGGAGTGCAATGGTAGGAAAATTCTGGCTGTCTTAATGCTGACACTTCGGCTGTGTCTTACCAGAGCAAGGACAGCTCAATTCCTCGCAGTCTACAGTTGTCAGTGAGCTGTCCTGGAAGCAAGGAGTACCTTGGTCCCTTACTGATAATTGTTCCTTAGTCGTTCTATGTAAATATAGGCACTTATTAGAGTTGGACTTGATGATCCTTAAGGGTCCCTTCCAACTCAGGATATTCTATGATTCTATGATTATGTTACTTCTAGCAATGGCAATCAGCACAGATCTTGCCTATGTGAGGTGGTAAGCATAATGATACTGGGATTTCATACATCTTGAGCAGATCCCAGGTAGTTATAATGAGCAGCTATTTTTTAAGGTCTGCTTGGAGCAGATCTTTGTTTTTATTCCTCTCCCCTGCCCCAGTATGGACTAATTAGGGAATGTTTTGAGTATTTAAGATCCAGTGCTCTTCCTCAGTGGAGACAGTGTAGTTTGTGCAGATGTTTCACTCTTCAAAAGCTAACTTGATGGCTGAAGGGGAAATCCAGATGCCATGCAGCAGACTGAGAAGAGCTAGCTGCATGGGGGTTTAATTTGTCTGACATCCCGTCCTGTTTCTGTCTTGAGGTTGACAAGCTTTCAGGACACTGTGTGAGCTTGAAGACCATATCTCCTTCTAGAGCTTTTGGACGTGTTGAAACCACCAGTGGCTAAAATGACTCTTATGCACAATCTATTAATACAGAATGGCTGAAGCTCTTGAATTTACATTACGAGAGGGATATGCCTGAGAAGTCATATTCACAGGAAGAAAAACACAAGGCTGGTGATGAAGGGTAGTGAATGGCCCCATGCTCCTGAGCAGAAGAAACTAGTCTGGGGGGAGCTGACAAGCAAGAAGCTGACAAGGGGACAGTGCAAATAGAAGTGTCATTTGAGGAGGAAAAAATTTGCTAGTCAACCAGTGTAGCAGAGAGGAAAGTCCTGCACAGGTGGTCTTAATTGTAACCTACAATGGAAATAAAATTCTGCAATGCTGTACCCTGTCAGGGTTTGGCTAGAAGTCTGAGCTGCGAGCTCTGGAGGTCTGGAAAATGTCCTAGGATTCTTGAGGTCAATCATTTATGAATTAAGTTACTGATTTCCTTTTACATTTTTTAAGCCAATTTCCTAAGTTCTCTATGTATGTTAAGATTCCTTCCAGAGTGAAAGCTGTGCACATAGACAGCTTCATTAAGTCATTAAATATTAAATGAACTAAATTAAGCTTGAAAAATTACCTCAGGCTATTTTTCCATCTTAGGTCTCTCAGATAAATCAAAATTACAGTGTATTGTGTGAGAGACTCATCAGCACGCTGAAGAGGATGTAACAGTTTTCCTTGTTTCATATTTTTGTGCTTGCTGGAGAGGATGGAGGGGGCTGACTCATTTTATTCTTCTGTCAGTGAAGAAATGGCTGGCTTCTAGGAGACTCTAACTCAAATACAATTTTCATTTCATAAGTTATATTGTACTTTCCACTGTCTCTGTACGTATGTAAAGTATTTTAATCTCTTGAGTCCCAGTAGGAAGAGCTTTAAGATCCTTCATCTTCATTTCTTTTCCTGCCTCTCTCTAAATGTCCCAGCTTTGCTTGTGTGAAGCTGTCATTTCTCTCCCTCTCTCCAAATGTCATTGTCCATGCTGAGTTGTTACCTGCTGGTTATCAGCAGCTACCCAAGACTCTTTGCAGAAATGACTTTTAGATATTAAAATAAAACAGAAGAGGCAGGAGAGAGCACATGTCCTCTTCTTTGCCCATAGCAGATGGAGAGCTCTGTTTTCCCCCAGCTTGGGGAAGCAGTGTTCCCACGCAGCCCCTGTTCTGTGTGGCTTGTGCAGGGAGAGCCGTTTCAGTTTGTTTTACTTTTTTCATGCAATCTGTGTGGCTAAACATTCGCTGTTCAGACAACTCGTGCCAGACGCCTTCCTGGGAAAGCAAAGCACTAACATCCTTTTGCAGATGATGACTTGAATAAAACACGAGTGGGCTTTTCTGTAGTGATGCGGAAAACCTGTCTGCACCAAAGATTTTCAGGCTCATTAAGTTTAACAGTGCTCTGTTGGATTTATCAAGTAATTTCAAAGCAGTGGAGAGCTGCTAAAATGTCTCAAATATATCCCCCGGGTGGCATGTTGGTGGCTGTCCTGTTTGAGGGCTCCAAGTGCATGGTGTTGGTGCAAGACAACCCTTGCCAGCCAGTGTCAATGTCCTTTACTCCTACAACAAACCATTGTTTTTTGTTTGTTTTAATTTTGATAATGTGCTGCCAGATGCATATGTTCTCCAAGACTCCTAATGCATTAGTTTTCCTGTTTTCCATTGAATCCAGGGAATCTCTTGTATCAGTTTTCTAAAAAGTTTGTGTGGGACATGTGTATGAAGGTAAATCTGGAAAACTGATGTGTTGAACCTAAGTTAGTGTCTTAAACTTTTTATTCAGTACCAGGTTGGCTTTAGTAGCTTATTTCTCTGAACCAAAGTCATTTCATCTCTGGATGTGAGCATTCCCATGGGCATCCACTGTGCTTCAGCTTCACCATTTCTGTTGATTTGTCTTAACTTGTTCCTCAGGGTCTCCATGAGGACAAAAACATAGAGGGTGTGAAGGCTGGAATATTTATTTGAACTTTGGTTCTGTTTAATAGCAAATGTTTATATTGTGCAACTTCTACAGCAGTGAGTTTTCTTCCCATTACTTTGGGGAGTGAATTCTCAAGCAAACTTCACTAATGCCTCCACTAGAATTAGCGTCACATCTTAAAATGCTGCTTAATTCAAATCGTTAACTATCTTATACGGAAGATTGAATATACTGAAGTATTGTTTAAATAATTTAGCTCAGACTCCCTTTGTGCAAGAAACAGCAAGAGATTCTTTAAAAAAAAAAAATATATATTTTATTATCAGATGCTGTTTTTTCTGAAGCCTGGGCTCTCACTCTTATTCCTACCATGCTGTTTGCAAGCTGACTGTGTTTTTTAAAGCAAAATGCAAAATAGCATTTTATTTGTAGTCCAGGCACAAAAGGCAGTTTCATTTCTCTGGCCTTAAATAAACAGCAAAGATATGAAGACATTTTTAGTTTAAAAAATGCTGCCATCCAGTGGCAATTTTGTGTGTAAAACTGCTACTTTGTGATCTCTGCCTCTGTGGTGCTTAATTTTTTTTAGTGCCCTGCACAAGGTGTGGCTATTAAAAAAATGCATCACTTTTAATGGAGAAATGGCAACGTATCTTAAAATTTTAGGGACAAATACAAAAACCTTTAAAAGTCCATGTTTTGCATAGGATGTTGATGTTCAGAGTTTGGAAACTGGAGACGGGGGAACCTTAAGCATAAGTACAGAGTAAAATTAAATGTTAATATATGAATAGTGTTGGTATTCATGTTACTTTTTTTTTTTTCTGGCTAGGACTTATCATGTAATACAATTTATTGAAATAATGCCTTCATTCTAAATACTTATTTCAAGTAATTCCACTTTACTGCATGAGAAAAAAAACTTGGGAATCTAAATCATATGCAAGTGTCCTTGAAGACAAGACCATGAAACGATCCATGATTCTAAACTTTAGTTATGGACTAGAAACCTTGTTTCTAGTTATAATTAATAACAGATGGAGTCAATAACATGCCTGACTAGAGAACAATATATACAGCTCTAAATATACTTTTTCGAAATAATTTTAGTAATGATTATCTTTGTAAGTAGTATATTAAATATCTCTTTCCTGCAGGGTTGCTTTGTTGGATTTGACCTGGCTCATGCTGTTGGGAATGTAGATCTTCATTTGCATGACTGGGGAGTAGATTTTGCCTGCTGGTGCTCCTACAAGGTAAAACAAACTCATTTTTTGAGATTCTCTGGGATCTCATTTATGTGATGGGTCACCAAACAGGTAAGATGAGAAGAGCTGAGCTGTTGATCGAGGCTTGGGCTGAATGTTGCTGGTTCGAGGAAAGAGATGGGCACTGGCTTTAGTAGTGGTTTTCTTACAAGAAGTTACAAAAGATAATAGTGGTAATATTGTTTTGACCTGTAAAGTAATGTGTGTATTAGTGAGTGGTTGAACATCTGCTGTGATAATCATACTGATCTGTGGTCACAGCATTAAAGGCTCTCCTCTTACCACGTGGAGAAAATCTTGTAGTTATGCCATTTTTATAAATGGCCCCTAAATATGAAAACATCTTTGTCTAAACACAATTTTAGATCATACAATGAGGTATCTTTTATTTTTTTTCAATATGTTTTGAGATTAAGAAACAATAGGCACTGTTTGGTGAATTGTTTGGCATGTATATATCGTGATATAAGATTGCTTTAGCCTTTTTTCGGCTAGACTTCAAATATCATATGTAAACCAAGAATATTTGCAGAACTACTCTGTGAAAATCCATCTGCTTCTACCTACATTAACACTTTAAGACAGATGCTAAGATCTCCAGTTAGAAACAATGAGAAATATTGAAATTTGTCTGTTTTATAGAGCAGGGTGAGGGAAGAAAAGCTGTTATAGATAACGAGCACAAAAATGCTTATGTGATGATTTTTTCTTTACAGTATTTAAATTCTGGAGCAGGAGGCCTAGCTGCTGCCTACATTCATGAGAAGCATTCCCAGAGTATTAAACCAGCGTAAGTTTGTTTCTAAGCACATTCAAAAGGTGCTGTGAAAGTACATTGCAGTCCTAGTCACAGACTAGTTATGTGTATGCATGTATATACATATGTTTATATGGACAGATGCAGAAGAAATTCCTTGCTTCAAAGAAAACTCAGACTAATATTTGTTGCTAAGTTTTTGCCTTAGTGAAAATAGTAGTGCAAGTTTAAATAACTTGGTTATCTAATTTTTGTTAGCTCAGAAGGGTTATTTTATGCTAACTTTGCTATATTTTGAAATTGTTAATGTATGTGCTCACATCTTAAATAATTTCCTCCTTGAAGTCTATCTGTTCTAAACTAAGTATAATCATAAAAGAGAATGCTTATAATATTAAAAATAAGGAACCCAAATCATGTCTGCGAGACTGTTTAATGTAAAGAGAATACTTAACATCTTCCTTTAAAAATGGATTTTTTAAAATCATTGAAGTCTCTGGTTGGTGAACAAAATCAAAGACAATTTCAACTCTGTCTAATAGCTCTTTAATACTGGCATGTTTTCATTAAAATTATATCTACCAGTAAAGCTAGGAAGCATTAAGTGGAGATCTGTGTTCTCAAAGACTTCATAATCCATGAAAAGCTGTGCTGAGAACTGAGGTTAACTGCATTAAAAACAACTACCTGTTATTTAGAATGTTATATGTCTGTTCTCGATGTATATTAAGAACAGTAAGATTAGTACTTTTAATGCATTGACAAATGTAAACACATTCTGGCTGTAATCTTTGGAGAAATTGCTGGCACTTGCTTTTATTTTAGCTTGAGGAAGGCAAACTAAATCAGGTTTCAGAGAGAAATAATATTATAATAAGCAGCTTCACTGCACTATTTGCTGGTTTCAGACTGTCTAGACTCCCAGGAGATAACAGAATAACGCTGATAAGTTCTTCTCAGTCACCCATAACAGAAAACTCATTAGGATGACATATGACCTGCTGTGAGCCGATTCGATCCTCACATGTGAATGCTGGCAAAATATTCCAAATACCTGGATATTTCTTCTGGAAAGGTATCTGCTGCATCCCCTGTAGGTACAGGAGTTGGTTTTATGGCCAAACCCCTGGGCCACAGCTGTGGGGAGCAGGGAAGATGCTGGGTAGTGGGGAAAAAAAAAAAGATGGCCAGCCAGAAATCACAGAATAACAATAAGAGGAATGAAAAAGAAACTCAAGGACTTTGAGTATTTCTTTCCCCTTGATGAAATTTTGAAACTTCAGTGAGGGCACTAGCTTGGTATTTTAGGTAAGGGTTTAAATTAGTTTTTCCTGAACTTGCTTCTTCATACATAGTCATTAACTTGTGCATTGAATCTGGATGCTGAATGTTTTAAATACAAATGCCTGTATGAAATAGTTTTGTTTTTCTTCAGCCAGGGACCCAATTAAGGATATATTTTCAAACTTCCTGCATAGACCCTTTGCATTATTTAATCATAGCTATTTCATATTTCCTGAGATTTGATAATCACTCATCAAATTGTTTATAGTTAATATGCCCTGTTTGCGTGGCTTTTCTTTCTTTTCCACATCAACCAGCCATTTCAGGTCTCCAGATAAGACAGTGAGACAAAGGAGAATTTGTCTATGTCAAAGTATTCAATTTTATAGCTGATTTAAATGCAGAACAATTTGCTATATGTTGTACAATCAAATAGAGTGGAATTTAACTGCTCTGGAAGTTGCAGCATTTATGTTGTATCTGAAAAAACGTCTTTGGCTGTCTTCTGAATCAAGGATGACACCCAGTGGCCAAACTTCATTTAAAAACAGGAGCACCAAACAACGTTTCTTTGCATCCCAGCCCATATATAAGCAGCTAATTAAATTCCAGTCTGCTTGATAGCCTTTTGTCATATAAACCACCTGAAATATTGTTTTTAACTCACGGTCAGTATTATGCAAGTCACTTTACCTACCTGTATAGATTTCTTTAATTTGTTTCATCCTTCATATTTTCTGCAAGTTATTGACTAGGTAGTTATTTTTATATTGGACTAATATATTGTATTTTAATATAAAAATGTATGTTCTGACCATAATTCAGAGAGGCAAACCTGGAATGTCTGCCAAGTGCCTTTTCCTATTACTTTGCTGGGGCAAAAAGGACTTAGGTGCTTATTGAAAACCAAACAGCTTAATCCAAATTTTTTATTTAACACCCTCAAGCCCATCTACGGCCTTTCATCAAAGACACTTGGGGTTGTTTTTTTAAAGTTCTCTGATGTGAAGCATAAATATGCTTTTTTCCCTCATGCCAAGTCTTGCTAATGTGAATATTGTAAGCAAATGGGTGTTTGTGCTGTAGCTATGCCCAGTTTTAGAAAGAGGGTTCCCCTCCACCTGCTCTCCACAGGTGCTGTTCCATCCAGAGCTGGCTCCCTGGACTATAAAACATTCATTTTCTGCTTTTTTTTTTTTTTCTAATGCACCTAGAGCTGTGCATAGAGATATTAATTTATTAGCCTTATCGCTAGCAACTAGGGCCATGCCAGAACTGGTCTGTGCTCTTAGTCTCTATAGACTGAGATTGTGGCAGTCCCTGTGTTTTGTAGCTCTAAAACAAGTAACCCCAAACCAGCATTATGCAGCTATACCATGTGTCACGTCCCAAGAGACAAAAATCAGCACAGATTCCACTTCAATTTATTATTATTTATGCACAAGCTTCCCACAAGCTCTCTTAAAACCAGAAATTCACCAGTTAGTAAAAACCATTTGATCCCAAGAGTAAGCTTTGATTTGTAGGCCTGATGGCCAGAAGATGGAGGCTATGGACAGCACAAGCTCTTCTGCTCTCTTGTGTGTCACTGAAAACATCATCTTCCACTCTGGCTTAGCTAGGTATAGTCCTCTAATTCACTGCAAGGGCCATGGGTCTAAAAGTTACATGTTGTAACCATCCTAATTAATATCTGTACCTGAACATGTGGAGCAGTCCTTCACTAGTCCGCTATCTTTCTTTCCACTGCAGTAAAACTGAATCAATCTGACATATAGGGGTCCCATATATCCATATTCTCTCATGATCTCAGCTCCTTTGAAGTCTCTTTTAATACTCTGAATAGCTTTTTTTTAATACCTGTTCTATATATCACAGTGCAATATATTCTTGGCTAATTGTGCTAAAGCAATTTCTCCCTGGGTGGAGACCTGGACAGAGCAGAGCTATGAAAAACTACTGACATGCTTTGGCCAATGGCTACAGATTGATCCTGTGCCACCAAATTTCCATGTAAATTCCTCTGTGTTACAGAGGGGAAACTTCCAAGAGACAGCACTAAGGTGACAGAGTAATAGTGAAAATCAGCTTGACTCAAGTGTTGGGTTCAAGAACAACCCTTTTTCTGCTGCTAAACTTCTCCATTTATGAATAAATAAATAAATAAAAATTAAAGGTATACAGTAATGTGAAAGGTTGTGAGCATCTGGGATCGATGTCACAGCAGAAGTCAGGTATTCATAGCAGTGTATCTGCAGCTGTAAATGCACAGTGAGTTTAACCCTGCTGTCAGCTGGCATAAGGGATGATAGGGGACAAACTCACTGAGTCCTGCGATAGGAGAAGAAAAAAGTCCTAGCTGAATCCCTGTAAGAAAAAGTAAGGCACAATTTTAAAAGATGAAAGGGAAATAAATGTATGTAAAGCAGCCAGGAGAATAATAGATAAGCCTTGGCAGAGGATTAAATGAAAGTTGTACACAGTCTAGTGTTTAAAGCAAAAGGATTTATCAAGACTTAACTTTAACACAGACTAGAGCAGGTAGAGTTTAAAAATAAGAAGTTTTGATGTGAAGAAGTGCTGTGCATGCAGGAAGCAGCTGATGTCCAAATAGCATGTCGGCTTTTGCTATAGGATAAAAAAAAAATTATCAAAGAAGAAACAAAGGTAACTATTTCATAGTGGCTTTGAGGACAAGGTATCTTCAGACAAATTCTTCACACACAGAGGTGAGATGTCAATTTCTATTAGATCACTTTTCTTTTGGACTTCATGGTCCCAATGAAAATGCCAGAGCACAAATGGCTTCTTTACTGAGACCTGCATGTGTCTTTGGTACATGAACTTTTGCACTTGTGTGAGGAAAAAGAAGTAAAGCTGTCCTTGGTTAAAATGTTCCTAGGTATAATAGACTGAGATGCGCCAATTCTCAATGACCCTTGGAGTCTATCGATCTGACTATTTTAGTATTACTGAAAATTTTAACTGAACAGAGCACCCTGGCCTGGCCAAGAGGAGGATCTGGAGAAGCAATATTGAAACTTCCAGGAAGCTGTACAGAATGCAGCAAGGTGGAAAGTCAGTGGTCACAGAAGAAAGTGTATATGCTGCTGTGTGCAGAAGGTTTGTCACTGGTCCCAGTGCACTCAAATTGTGGAGTAATGTATAGGCAAGCTATTCGTGGAGCATAACATGTCCCTGGAGTGCATAAAGTATCCTGTATTAAGGTAGAAATGAACTGTTTCTTTGCCAGGGAGATGAGAGCAATTTAGCTCCTTGAGCTAATTTAGAAACCAAAAGTTAAAATCTCCCTTGGGAAAAGACTGTTTAGGAATAAAGGCATTGGCTAATTAGGCTTAATTGCATTGTCTTGGGACAAGTGATTTATTAGGCCAATCTAGACCCATGATGGGCCTGCAGGGGTGTGTTCTTGGATTCACCAAATGAATGGCAAATATCCAAGAGCATTTTTTAACTTTGGAATGAGTCTTTGGGACAAAAAGAGAGGTTAATGTTCATTCACATCTATTTCCATTTTCATCTTTCCAGCTCTGTACATCCTTTTATGTTGTTTTCATGATTGTCTCCTTGTTCTTTGTCAAACATTTCTCTCTATCTTCCTTCAAATCCTCCCTTGTAATTAAGCTGCATCTTCAAGCAGCCTTGCTTCCTTTCTCATTATTCATAATCTTCTCACTCTCCTCCCTGAAGGTGTTCCATTATGTTGTCATCTTTGTCTTGGTTGGATT